TACATACATAAATGTAATTAGAAGGAACAGGGGTAGAGGTAGTGATCTAGATAGAAAAAAAAGAAAAATATATAACCTTAAGCAAAAGCAGACGTATGTATGTATGTATGTATATTGGTTATGAGACAAAATAGATATGTAACGTAAGTTTCACTTATACAGCGTGGCCCAGGCGCACTCGGTTTTTTTAACACTCTGTACATTACGTACTGAAGACTTGATGTTGTATACCAAATGAAACCTAGTTCTACATACTACTGAACTATACAACTTCTAAATAAGTATGTTTAATATGGACATTTTTTTAAGTAATGAGTTTAAAATTTTTTGAACTTTTTTTATTTAAATTGAATTGTTGCTATAACTGTACAAGAAGTATATAGCACTTGTATATCTTACTAAAGGCACTTATATTTCCTATTGAACGACATCAAAAAACTTCAAATCCGTGCTTTCGTTTTCGAATTCCTGTAGTTCTCGTTTCCCATTAAAAAAAAATGATACCGTTATACTTGCTTTAAGAACCTCTATCGACGTCGTTGTTCAAAATTTGTCGCCACGGTTATAGTAATCATGCCGACGATGAAGAAGAGGTCATCAGGGGACGTCAGATTTGGTTGAAGGGATAATTAGCTTACTGAAACTACACGTCAGGCAAGAAAAAAATGTAAATAGGTACATTGCAATCATTGTCATAAAAAGACCACTACACGCTGCATTAAATGTGATATCCTGCTTCATGAAAAGTGTAATGTAGAGTACCACAGCACCAAATAATTTTTTAGTACTAACTAATTTGTTTTTCTTTACTGAAGTACATACAAGTTTCTGGATAAAAAATTATTTTAATTAAATTACAAACAATTTGTATTTTTAACTTAAGTACATATATATACATACATTTTTACCGAGAGTACTACATATAGTACGGCCCACAAACTCACGATAAAATATATATATTTTTAATCTCTCTTCAGTTTTGCAATACTTTCTGCCAGATTCACTTGATTTGAGAAAACTAACAGAATTGTTGCTGTAGCAAGCTCATGGGCATATCTGGGTTAACCCAGATAGTTTGATTATGGCAACTTAACTTAACTTAACGGAACGTAGAACTTAGGGAATAAAATGAAAAAGATTTCGACGTGACATTAAGTTACGTTAAGTTTTGGCTGTTCAACCCTGCAAAAATGGCGACTACTCCATGCATGCGTGTAAAGAGTACTCCCTAAGGACCAAGGAGTACTCCAAAATTAACCACAATTCATATAAAAAATATGGTCCAATTCACATTGCGATGTCCTAGGGCAGTGATAGGATAACAAACAATAAGCTGGCGCAGAGACACGAGTTGGTCCGCTACAGCATGAGAGAGGAACACGTTTGTAAGTACTCCAATTTACCACAAATAGACTACATGGTCCCACGATTTTTGCAGGGAATTTTAAGCAACACCCATTTAACAGAATTTTTAATAGAGGGCCGTAAGTTATGTTAAGTTGCCATAATCAGACCATAAGGCATTAAACAAATATTATAAAAAAATCTTCAGTGTTATCTAAACTACTTACGTACACCAGTTTCTGGCAGGACCATACTGATGCATTTGAAATCCTACTTACATTGCATGTTTATATAAAATTTTTGCGCATACATACACATATGTATGTATATGTACTTATGCATGTACCTGGCATTCGAGGCATCGACAGTTATCACAAAGTGTGCAAGACAACCCGAGCAGTTCGGAGGCTTCTTTATATAGCTCGTAATTGCTCTTTTGTTGTCGTGACGATTTCAGCACTTCCAACTTTTGTCGATGTTGATTGTTGCTATCACTACTCCCACTCCAATTGTTCGACTGCTTTCGATGCTGGTGTCGCTTGCTCTCGCCTGTAGCATTCGCATCCATTTTGTCGTTCCAATAATGTTTAACGATGTTGTTCAATGACGCACAGGTTGCCTTTGCGGCCATTGAAGTGGTTAGCGTTGTTGAGTCAGCAGCATTTGATTCCTTCATGTATGAGTTGGTCCGAAATTCAGTGGGTGTTACCGAACCGGTGCATCCGACACGGTCATTGTTGCTGGTGCTAAATAGAGACAAGTGCAGGAACGATATTAGTTAGTATTTTCAAAAAACTCTTTAGGACTTTATTATGGAGATGAAAATTTTAGAGCACTAGTTAAATACATACATAGTTATTTCAAGAGTACCCAGCCAGCAAAATATCTGGAAATTAGTGTTGGGCAGTGTTGATCCCAAAAGTACTCAGAACTCGATTCTCAAAAGGATAGACAGCAACCGATTTTTAAAAGTATCGATAGTGAGTACTCTAAAGTTTATTTACATTTACCGGTACTTAGAAATGATTGTACTCAATCTGAAGTTTCAGTAGTTTTCAAGTAGCCATTCATTTGACGTAATTTGGGATAAATATATTAATTTAAATAAAGTGCTGCCAGCTTGTGAGATTTCTACACTAATCATTGAAATATTACCAACAAGCGTATATTTAAAGAAAGTACTCAGTACTCTGAAAAATACCCGATCCTTAAAAGTATCGATACCAAAGAACTCTATCCTCAAAAGTACTTCCCAACACTACCGGAAATGTATCCGAAAATGGTAACTATTTCGTATAAAACCTTGATGTTTCATCCGTTTTCCGATTCAGTTTCCGGTCGTCTTCGGATCCACTCTTCCACTAAAGTATTCATGCGAAATGTATGTACAGAAAACTATCGAAAATTGTTGCGAAACGGATGCGCTTTCGCCTGTTTTCCTTTTTCATAGTTACATGAAAGAAAACAAAAGACAATTTTAAGATTCAGCAATTATTTAAATTTTATTAAATACTTTTCATATGTATAATTTTAATTGTTGCTTCTGACGGCAATCGATCTTGGGTACTCCTGAAAACTAATAAATAGTAGCACGTACCTCTGCACTCTCAGCTACTGGCAAATACGTATATATATTTTTAAATAAATAAATATTAAATTATTAAATATTTTAAAATTATTGTTTTGAAACATATATGTAATACTTCTACATTGGCAGTAAGTTAACTATCCAATGTGTAAGCATTCCGGAAACCAAGGCAAGACAGTCTAGTACGCTTTTTGTGTATGTATTGAGTAGGTGTGTGCCGTTTTTGTGTATGTGTTGTGTTCATGTAAATGTGTTCCTTTTCTTTTTTGCGTGTTTATTGATATATCTGTACTGTAGTGTTTTCGGACGGTACTAGCTCTTACTGCCAATATAGGAGTATTACATATATGTTTTGAAATAACATGATGACATTTTTCGGATACGAAAATTAACAAAAATGGAAATCGTTTCTTGAACGTTTCCGGATACCAAAAATTTACGAAAATCGCACTGTCGGTTAAAAGTACGTTTCCCTGCTGGCTGGGTATGTATAAATACTTGTGAAAAGAGGAACAATGAGAAGAAATAGGGTGACTCATGCAGAAGTGAAACATTTAAAAATGTATTCTTGATACAGACGTATGCATAATAGTATTGCCAATTTTTTCATACATACATACATATCGTTACCTTAATTCTCCTTGCCGGAGAAGCCAAAAATATTATAATCAAATCACATACGTACAGAGCGTTTTAAAGAGTGGCATAACTCCTTTTTTTCGTACTAACACTTCACAATTTTTAGTGAAGGTGTATTTTAATATATCCTACCAAAATTTCCATTATCGGTGTTAATGCTGGTTCCCATGTAAACAAAATTCTCTACTTTCTCGAAATTACTGCCACTTACGCTGATTGTTTGTTTGATGGCAAGAGATACTTCGTCTTGTCAAACGTGTAGATACATGGCGTATGAGTAACATTATTTCCTACTCATATTTCAGACAAAACAAACGAATCATTGTGGTTGGTTGTTCACGCTTGCCTGGTTATCAGGTTATCTGGTTAAACCAGGCAAGCATGAACAACCACATTGAATTTAGCAATCCATAACTCGAAAATTATTAGTCGCAACGTAGTATTTCCTACTACATTTATTTAGATAATTTTTCCTCTGCAAAACGATATGTTCCATAGATTTAACAATTCCTTATTTTATTCAGTATTATTTACTGAGCAAGATGGGATATTTGTTATCCACTAGGAAATTATTTGAGGGTATACCAAAACATTTTGCCGAATTGACTGGGCTATAACAAGTAATCTTACTATACATATGTACAGTGAGTGTCACTCAAAATACTACAGTAATTTTCCATATTTTGAAAATATTTTTTTTTTTTTATTATATGTTTATTATTGGCGTTTTTGTTTCTACAAAACATGTTGCCTTTTCATCGCCCTCTTCTTAGTGTTCATGCGTAGAGGGCAAAGAGAAGGTTGCATTTTTCGGTAGAAAAGAAATCAGCATAACTTTTAATGACAATACAACAAAATTCTAACTTTGTAACAATCATCAAAATTCCATATTTTTTATTCAAAAATTTTTAACGCATGAACAAAATCTATTTTTATATGGAAGAAATGCCCAACACCTCGACAAAAAAAATTGTAGCGACTTCAAAATTGCACTTTTAAAATAAAATTGAATGGCCTATAAAACGGCGTACCCAAAAAAAAAGTCAAAAATTCTGAATAAAAAGTGCGAAATTTTGATGAAAATTTTAAGACTTTTTTTAATTGTTACAAAGTTAGAAACTTCGAGTTTTATGAATTTTATTAAGTGTGAACTATGTTTTTATTAAAAATTTAAATAAAACAAAATAAGGTGAAAATGTGGAAAGAAATTTACTGAACGATTTTGACTGACGCTCACTCTATGTAGTTGGAAAATGAAAATTTCAGAGAACTTAAATTATAATTATTGACTTAAAAATAACCACAAATTAACGACAACAAAATTACGCAAGCAAAATATTTGTTTTATAAACCTGCCCAAATCTTATTTGCATGATACCAACACTCACCTTCGTTGGTGCACATTTTCCCCAATACTCGTATCACACGTTCTCCATTTTTCTTCTTCGATGAACTTTCTAAATTTAGTTTTCTTCTCCATAAGGGATGGCTTGACATTGGCACACTTTTTCTTATTACTGTTGTTGGGTTTGATTTTAATGGCATCCACACCTCCACCAGTGCTACCATCATCGTGCGTTGCGTTGGCACTGGTACCGCCAGTGGCATTTGCCGCAAAGCTGCAGTTGAAGAAGTTTTGAAATGCAGGTGCCGGTGGCAAGCATCTCGATGTTGGCGGTGTTGTGGATGTAGTTGACAAGGCTGCTGCCAACAACGAAGGCGGGGATGTGACAGCATTTCCGATTATTTCCGTAACTTCGCAAAATTTCCCCAAATTATGCAATTTATGTTGCATTATGTGCGCACCGGCGGAACAACAACGAGAACCGGATCTCGCAGCCGATGAGTTTTTGTAATTTGGCATATTTTTATTGTTCATGTCATTAGGGTCAATTAATTTGAGAAACTCATAGTCCTGGAAGTTGAAAAAATCATTTAAAATTAATTGTAGAATAAACGTGTATCTTCCTAAATTGGGACTGTAAGAATTTAAATTCGTAATACGTCTGACTACATATGTATAATAGATTACTTGTAAGTAGAATATTAAAGTGGACTTTTTTTAATTTTTTTTTTTTTTTTTAATTAATCCCAACGGCTTTTTTACCCTCCATTCCCGCCCAACCGACACGAGGGGCGCAGTCCGCATGACGTACGGAACCTTTTTTTTTGTTTTTTTTTTTCGTGCCGAGTAGTGGAAACAGGAGTTTGTTAAGTGTCGAGATCTAAAACTATTCAGCTACAGAATCAAATTCATCAGCTGATTGGATATGCTAAAGATAGTATTTCAATTATTGAGAGTGGAAATAATAGTTTTCTTTATAGTAAAAATCGAGTCCGATACGTCAAACGTGCTGGAATGACAGTTAAAATCTTGACATAAACCACGGAATGATTCGTTTAGTTCAAAATTAGTTTTGCATAGCTTTAAAAATAGAGGTCGAAAGTGTCTTGACATTCGAGAAGGAACATTAAAATTTACCTCAGCCAGGAGGGCCGGGCTATTAATCAAGCCTGTCATTAATTTTACGATAAATATTATACCCAGCATTTCTCTACGACTTGCGAGTGTAGGCAAATTTATGAGTTTTAGACGACTTGTGTAAGGGGGGAGATTGTAATCTGAATCCCAGTTAAAATTACGCAATGCAAAAAGCAAGAATTGTTTTTGAATTGATTCAATCCTTTCTGAATGAACTTGGTAGCGGGGATTCCAAACAATAGATCCGTATTCTAGTATAGGTCTAACTAAACTGGTAAAAAGAGCAATTATTAACAATAACTCTTTGTGTTCTATCAAACAGGTAAGATGAGATCCATTGAAGAAGACTGGGCTGAAAGCCGATTAGGTCGAGTTTACGGATGAGTAACGAGTGACATACTTTGACAAAAGCTTTACTGAAATCGGTGTAAATTACGTCGGTATGAGCATTTTCTCTAAAACCGTTTGAGACATGAGTTGTAAACTCCAATAAATTAGTCATAGTAGATTTTCCTTTAGAAAACCCGTGTTGAGATTGTGTAATTGAAGAAGATATAGAATATGTCAGCTGGTTAACAATAATTGCTTCGAATAATTTGGGGATAGCGGAGAGTTTCGCTATGCCTCGATAGTTTTCTATATACGACCTGCTGCCGTTTTTGTGAAGTGGTATTATGAAAGACTCCTTCCAGGCTGACGGAAAAACGCCATGTTTAAGTGACAAATTGAATAGAGTTGTTAAAGGCTCACAGATGTTCTCAGCGCAGTTTTTAAGAAAACAGGTCGGAATATGATCAGGTCCAGGCCTAAATGACGCTTTTAAGGTTTTTAAAGAGTGTAAAACTTCATCGGAAGATATTACTGGAATATAAGCAGAGTTGATTGGACAAAGCTCGTACGGATAGTCTCCACTTATAGGGAAGTCTACAGAATAATTGGACCTAAAGAACCGAGCAAACATGTTGGCAATGAGTTGGCTGTCGGTAGATACAGTGTTGCGATAATGCATAGCGGACGGAAAACCATGTGCCTTACGCTTTGAATTTACGAAACCATAAAATGATTTAGGATTGTTAATTAAATTCTTCTTAATTTTACATAAATATGAATTATAACATTTCTTATTTAATGCAAAGTAGCTATGCCGCAAAACGGAGTACCTTAAGTAATCACTGTGTAAGCCCGTTCTTTTATACAGTTTAAAAGAGTGCGACTTTTTATTTTTCAATTTTTTAAGCTCTTTAGTGAACCATAATTGTATTGGTTCTTCATGAACAATATTACGTATTGGCACATACTTTCGAAACAAATTGAAAACAGTATCATTAAAGTGCTCAACGCTACGCTCCACGTCATCTCTATATATTGGCCAAGATAACTTTGAAAGTTCTTTGTTAATTTTCCTGAAATTTGCTTTCGCAAAAACATATCTAGTACTTGAACTTGACTTATTATTATGTATTTCATTTATGATTTCGTAGCTTAACTCAAGAGCAGGATGGTATGCAACTTCCGGCAAAACTAGGGGATCACACCGATTAATAGAGGCCTTCGGAACATCATCAACGTAAACGAGATCCAAGACCTTTCCAAACTTATTTGGACATATATTTATTTGTTTGAGGCAAAGTTCAGCCATTTCCTCCAGAAATACATTGTAACTATCTCTAGATGAAACTGGTACAACATCGGTGTCAATGATGTTCCATGAAATATGTGGCAGATTTAAATCGCCCAAAACAATCATAGAATCGGATGCCGTAAGCATTGCATTTACGGTCTCAAGTAAAGAAACTAGCTGCATATATACCGATACGGCAGAATTAGGAGGGATGTAGCAAAGAGCTAAATAAATATAAGTCTTTCCAGCCTGTACACGTATACATTTAAATTCGGTATATTCAATGACAGGAAGACTAACTTCCTCGGATGGTATCGATGAATGCACCGCAAAAAGAACACCACCGCCGATTCTGCCCACGCGGTCACTCCTGTATATTTGATATTCATTTGGAAGAATTTCGAAATTAAAAATATGAGGTTTGAGCCATGTTTCGGTCAAGGAAATAATATTATAATTGCAGTCAAAACCTTTTAAATATAAGTCAGTTAATTTGGTATTCAAACCTCTAACGTTTTGATAGTAAATACTTAAATTAGACTTGCGAGTTAGTTTTTTGAGTCCGAATTAAGATTAGAAATTTTAGCTACGTTATTATTACTTTTACAAGACAAGACCAACGAAGACCCTTACCCTCGTTAATAGCGTCTAAAACTCTACCGCTCAAACCAGCACATTTTATATGGGCAATCCCATCGCAGAGCCAGCATGACACATAGGAGTCGCTTTTAACGTGGCAATTGGTGTAAATACACGACATGTTTAAAATTATATTTATTTTTAGGTTTTAGAAGCAAAAAAGCAAAAACGGTTTTGAAAACGATGTATTAATCAGTGAACCAATCAGCTGGTAAATATCAGTTAGCGAACAGTTTTAGATGCACTGTATATTTGACACCTAATAAACACAACGCAAACAGCTGTGACAAAGATGAAACAGCAGAAATGACAAAAAGACAAAAAGAGCAAAATCAATGTGCACAAACAAAAACAATTGTACAACAACAATATATTATATGAAACAAAATACTCGGCACATGCAATTAAGAATATCAAGTTAAATTAATCAAATTTACGGGAAATTTTGATGTTTTACTTATCTTTAAATTGTGCACCAGAAGTTTATTAACACTTTTTTTAATTTTTTACTTTAATAAGCGTAAACAGCTTTATCAAACACAAAATTTAAACAGATCACAAAAAAACACAGCTTCACAGCTTGACGTTTGCGTTCTTACTTTTAAAGTTAATATCAGTAAGCATTTATGTATTTATATACATATGTGCGTGTAGGTAAATAAGTTTGGTAAAGTATTAGATCTTGTTTATGTTGATGATGCATCTAAGTCCGTTGTAAATAAGTGTGATCCAATAGTTTTACCACCCTGCTGTGGAGTTATAAGTGATCAAAATTGCAGTACCCAAGCATACGAACCAAATATTCGCTTTGATTTTTTGAAAGCTAACTTTAAAATGCTTAACAAAGAACTGTATAAATTGTCGTGGCCTGCATTTAAAGAAAATATTGAACAAAGCGTTGCACTTTTTAACTTTACTTTACCTAAATTATTTGAAAAGCATGTGCCTAAACGCATGTTTGTTCCTAAAGTGCAAACACAGTTATGGTTCACTAAAGAACTGAGAAATTTGAAAAACAAAAAGTCGCGTTATTTTAGATTGCACAAAAAACCGGTTTACACTCATACTATGTAAAATACTCACTTTTGCGTCATAAGTTTTTTGAATTAAACAAAAAGTGTTATAAAGCTTACTTGTGTAAAATCAGACGGCGTATAATATATAACCCCAAATCATTTTATGATTCGTAAACTCCAAGCGAAAAGTACGTGGGTTTCCTTCCGCCATGAAGTATCAAAATACCGTCTCTAGTGATAATCAAGCAATTTCTAACATGTTCGCTCAGTTTTTTAAATCCAATTATTCCATTAACTCACATGCTAACATTGACTATCCTTTTAAACTATGTCCAATGAACTCAATAAATATCCCAGTAATATCTCCCGATGATGTAGTAGTTTATCTGAAATCCTTAAAGCAGTCCTTCAGTTATGGTCCTGACCAGATCCCTACTTGTATTCTTATAAATTGTTCTGATTATCTCTATGAGCCGTTAACAGCGTTATTTAATGTAACTCTTAAAGAGGGCGTTTTTCAAACTATATGGAAGGAATCGTTCATAACCCCGTTACATAAAAGCGGTAGCAGATCTTCAGTGGAGAACTACCGGGGAATAGCTAAGCTTTCTGCAATTCCTAAATTATTTGAAGCAATTATAACAAATCAGTTGACGCATTCTATCTCTTCTAGCATTTCATATAGTCAACATGGATTTTGCAAGGGCAAATCAACTTCTACAATTTTACTTGAATTAAAATCCTATATCTCGAAAGCATTTAGTGAAAGCAAATCTGTTGATGTTATATATACTGACTTCAGTAAAGCATTTGACAAAGTGTGCCACTCGTTGCTCATCTACAAACTTGATCTTCTTGGTCTTCCACCTAATTTTCTACGTTGGATCTCTTCATACCTCTATGATAGATCACAAAGGGTACTGTTTCAAAATACTATCTCTGACGTCATTGATGTTACTTCAGGAGTCCCTCAAGGTAGCCACCTAGGCCCGATTCTGTTCTTGCTTTTTATAAATGATATTTCTACAGATATACAATTTTCCAAAATTTTAATGTATGCAGATGATGTAAAGCTTTATAAATCGTACGTTTCAATTAAAGAAAGGTCTTTGCTACAATCAGACTTAGACAGCATGGCTTACTGGTGTCAAGTAAATCTTATGCCTCTAAATCTTAAGAAATGTAAAGTAACGAGCTTCTCGCGAAGAGCTGTTCATCCCGCTTCTTATACAGTAGGTAACCATAACCTGGAACAGGTATACAATTTTGTGGACCTTGGTATCACAATGGATCCTAAGCTTAATTTGAATCTTCATATTAATGTGACAGTCAACAAGGCTAAAGGTGTACTTGCATTTGTGAAACGATGGTCAAAAGAATTTTGTGACACTTATATATCACTAAAACCCTATTAACAACATTAGTTAGGCCAATTCTGGAATACGAATCGGTGGTTTGGAATCCAAGGTATCAAATTTACTCAGACAAGATAGAATCAATTCAAAAACAATTCCTACTTTTTGCTTTAAGAAATTTCCGTTGGGATTCTCAATATGACCATCCACCTTTTACGAGCCGATTAAAACTTATTTATCTTCCTACACTTTCCAGCCACAGGCAAATGCTTGGTACAATTTTTATAGTTAAATTACTAACAGGCTCAATTTCAAGTCCGCTTCTTCTTGGCGAAGTTAGCCTTAATGTTCCCCCCCGGGTATCAATACACTTTTTCCCCCTATTTCTGAAAGCTTGTAAAACTAATTTTGAATTGCACGACCCACTCCGTTGCTTATGCCAGGATTTTAACTCTCATTCTAGCACGTTTGATATATCAGATCCGCTTTTCAGCATTAAGAAAGCGATACTGTCCTCTCTCAATAAATGAATGATTAAAATAAAAACATAAAATCGGCTGATGAATTTAGTTCTGTAGCTGAACAGTTTTAGATCTCGACACTTAACAAACTCCTGCCTATCGTGACTCGGCGCAAAAATTGAAAATACTGGTTCCATACGTCATGCGGACTGCGCCCCTCGTGCGGATGGGCGGGAATGGAGGGCAAAAACCGTCGGGATATTATTATTATTATTAAATGTTATGTCTTACCCCATATGATCTATAGTTGGAATTAAGCACATATACAGAATTTTGATTATTGCTTTGGTAGATTATTTCGTCCATTTCGTTATCTGCAAAATTTAGAAAAAATAACTGTGAGTGTTTGTAAATATGTAAATATATATGATTGAATGTATAAACATGCAAAGTAGTAGTCATAATAATAAAAAATAAAAAAGGTATAACAGTAGTTTTTAGTTGAAGCATATATTCATACTAATGAACCCCGTGGCGTTAAGACGCCCAAAATTGAATTTCAAAAAACTTAAAAAATATTGGAAATATTAGTCAGAATTATAAGCGATATGCGCCATATCTTATATATAAATAGGCAATCATGTTTCCTTTACACCCCTTTACGGCTAAACTGTACTTCTAAGGTATAAACAATTATATATCGTTAGAAGGGTATTTTCCTGCTGATGTGCAGACAGTTTTTAAAATTTCAAATTAGTTTAACATAAAGATAAAAATCAGTTCAGAGTGACACCAATACCAATGCCATGGTTGGATCGGAAATGCCTCCTAAAGCATGTTCACATTATCATAATTTACAGCTCATTCGCAAATCATGCTGAAATCAAGTAACTTTGCCATGTAAAACTTGTCAATAAATGCGAAATTCGCGAAAATTCAACCAATTTCAAAAATTTGCTTTAAAAATTAAAATATTTTTAATCAGATTTTTTAGAAAATTTTGGGAATGCATTTTTATAGCCAATTTAATTTCAGTATAATTAGGTGCAAGTTCGAAGCTGTGCACTTTCTTCGATATAAAAATACGACTATTTTAGAACATAAATAAGTATTTTATATGGATGAAAATGCGAAACGTCTGCAACCCAAAAAATTTTCAAAAATCAGGGCGCATTCTGAGCTATTTCAAACTTTTTGTACTGAAATTGAATGAGTTACAAAACTTCATACCCAAACATTTTCTGTCAACCTGGCAGAGTGAAAGGGTTCAACAGCTGAATGCAGAAAAGTTTGTGAATCAATGGAAAAGAATATTCATCGCAGCTACCAAGAACTTCACGTTGCACACAGTCAAAATTCAGATTTAACAGCTTTGATGAAATTCTCTTTAAACATATTATTTCTCAAGCTATATAACCGATCTATCAGTTGGCAGGATCTTTTGACTACGCCAAATAGAACATAGCCTTTATGTGATAATGTTTTTTCTGCGCTTCGAACTGTTTCTTTCGTTATTATGTGTTTTAGGAACCAGTCTTAAAATAAAACTAATAGATATACAAATAGAAAGCATGTACTATAATTTATATTCTTTAAAATGGGGCCTATGGGATATTTATTTTTAGCAAATACTTCAAATAAATAACAGTCATTTTGTTTTCTTGTCGGGTCTCGTCGGGAAATATTCTTTTGTAGGGATATATTTTGGATCCTCGGCCATAAATCTCTGTTATAACACTGTCCGCCTACCTCTGCTTTATTCGCTTTTTAAAGTCGAAGTTTAAGATCCTTCAAAAGGGATTCCAAGCAGAAATGTTCAACGGCTAGTTATACAGAGATTCGATGATGGCATAACTAAAAATCTGTTAATCTGATCGAATATTATTTGTTAAAGATCCGGTGGAAAAACTCGATGCACCGCTAGATTCTTCCTTCTGTTTTCTTCATAAGTAAAAATAACTTAAGAATATAAGAAAGCGAATACAAAAAAGTTCGCTCGATTCTCAAATGCTTTCATCGGAGCTAAGTACCGAGATTTATTGAATTATATGTCCTCAAATTTCAGTTCCCCCGGAAGATCATGAAACTGGACAATACCACCCTCTACTCAACTTCGACGTGAACGTATGGGTCTTTAGCACACTTTATCGCATTATTTTTTATTTTTTTTAAGTCATTTATTCAATGTAAACTGCAATTCTACACAATTCGCAATTTTTCGTAAATGAGAGCCAATTAGAAAAAAAAAACGGAGGGCATATCCGGACTCGCTGGTCCAATTATGCCATAGAAATATGAATGCCGTTTTTGAATTTTTCTGAAGTATGTTTTTGTGGGATAAATTTAATTAACAGGGAACGGAATTTATGGATTTAGCTTTCCCTGATTCCATATATATGATGTTGCCTTTTTTAAGATATTTGCCTTTTTTGCCTTTTCTACCAAAAGTAATTATAAATAGCAAGGAGAGAGGCCCTAATTTCTGATAATTTGAACGTTTTAAACGTTCCATAAAACTGGGCGCCTCTTGTATCAAATCACGTCGAGTGCACGTTTAGTACATTCAAAGCTTTTCTTAAAGAAAATCGAATGAAAATGCTGCCAGAAAACTTCAAAGTGCATCTTGTGGCTCAATGTTACTGCAAGTTTTGTGAGGTAAATCGAAAGGAGAAAATAATCAAAGATTCAAAATACAAATTTTTCATATAATGAAACTAGAGCATCGTTTTTCTCTTTTTCCATGTAATATAAACATTTCTAAAATAAATGTATTTCTTGAAAAAACTTCGGTTTTGGTACTTTTTTAGTGCTTTCTGTAGACCTTTTTGCGATTTCTAGTGCCTTTTCCTGTCGCTATTTCATTTTCCCTTTTTAATAGGTTTTTAAGTCCTAAAAATCCGTTCCCTGGTAATTTGCCATTTTTCTCATATAAATGCCTAATTATGATTAAGTTCCGTGTTTTCTTTCTTTTCAAATAATTTTCACTATGCAAATACTCCTCTGTGCGTTGGCGAAAAGATTTACGTAATGTCTTATACATTATAATTTATAAATATTCTTATGAAAAAGATATTGTGATTGAAGATTAAAATGAACAAAAAAAACTTTTTAACAAAACTTGTTTCAAAATCGCTCTTTAAGAGGTGACTCAAACAAGGTAGAAGGTAAAGTTAAGTAAGGGATACATGCATAGATTAAAATAAAAGTACAGAAACCTTAACACAAAGGCAAAAAGGAAGGTAAATTTAAATACTTAATATAACTAGTATCGCCCAGTTGTCGAAATTCGGCATCTTTTTTAATACATTTTTGAATTTTGCCTGTCACCAATACTAACTCCTTTATGCGAATTACTATTTTGAAGTCCACCAGCCTAATTTATAGCGAATTTACAGGAAAAGTTAAAATAGAATTATGAACGTTAATACCGGACTGATTAATGCTAATTCTACCAAGTCTCCTCAAAATTTATTCAGTAGCTTTTGAAATTAGACCAAAAAAGGAACCTCGATTTTCATTTATCAAAAATATGCACATGTAATATGTTACACATATACCAATTCAGACTGTAAATAAATTTTTCGATTACATTTGTATGAGAGCATCTTGGAGGATAAAAACTAAATTGCCCACATCTACATAAACTCTTTACTCTTATCGTTAACGGTTGAGAAAGTATATTGAAGGTTTACAACAAAAGATAATATTTCCTTCTCAAACGGCGGTTCCGCACGGGTTTTTGTCAAGACTGGGCCAAAGCCTAATATTTTTTCATCACACGACTGGGCTACCAAGTTACACCAAATTTTATGTTACTAATATGTGTTCTAAAAGTGAAACAAATCTAATCACAAATATGATTTTTTAGGATAGCTCCCTGCGCCACCAATCGAAGCCAAACACACTGATCCTTTTAAAAACTTTTGCACAAAACAGCAATCATTCAATGCGATTTTAAAATCTGGGAGAGAATGGTTTCCAATTGAATGATTCTTGCGATTTTATATGTGTATGAATGCGGGTGTATAAAGTTCCATTACCTTATAATAAGTGGCTCCGGCGATAAGCGATATGAGATTTTCAGTTTGTATGGGCGGTACTACGCCCCCTTTTCCAAAATCTACCACTCTTCGCCATAACTAGACAACATATGTTGCTGTGTCCAATTTCAGGACGTTAGCATAAGTGGTTCCAGAGATAAGCGACATGAGAATTTCAGTTTGTTTGGGAAGTTCCACGCCCACTTTCCCAGTACATACCATCACCGTAAGTAGGGTATTTACAATCTATGCATCTGTGCTAAGTTTCAGTTCCCCAGCATAATTGGTTTTAGAGATATAGTGGTTTTCACATTTTAGTCTATATGTCAGATGCGACGCTCCCTGTGTATCGGGAATAATATTTATGGATTAGAGGAAGTTATATTCTTGAATTCGGTGTATGTTTCATTGAAATCAAAACAGGGATTGCGAAATTTTCTTGTGGCGTATTTTTATATATAGATAAAAAAGGAGTGGGTGAATATTTTGATAAAGAAAAAATACAGATAAAGATCTGAATCAAGGTCAGAGAAGTGATAAGTACAGAAATGAAGAGAAAAAAAAACGGCAGAGACAAGGATAAAGAAAAAGGTAGAGACAAAAAAGAGAAAAAGACACAATTGAAGAATGACATGTCATGTTACGTTGTGTATGTGTGGTATTGTGTTGTGTTCTTTTGTATTGCGTTTTGTTGTATTGTTTTGTGTTGTGTTGTATTTTGTTTTATTGTGTTGTGTTGAGTTGTGGCGTGTTGTTTTGTGTTGTGTTGCATTATATTGTGTTCTGTTTTGTTGGGTTGTGTTGTGATGTTTTGTAATGTGGGGTTTTGTGGTATGTTGGGTGGTGCAGTGTTTTATTGTTTTGTGTTTTGTTATGTGATGGTATGTAATGTTATGTTATGATATTTTGAGTTGTGTTGTGTTGTGTTTTTTTTCGAAGGGGGAATCTTACATAGATACCGCCAACCATGGACGGCATGCACGATTCATACTGCTCGCTAAAGGTACACCTGGACTTGCGAAACAGTACGCCTACGTACAAAACCCTTAACTTCGACTTCTGTAGCTTGTATTTGGCCCTGCGGGACCGCCGTTAAGCATTACTTCGCAGGGCTAACACACACTCCTTACAGAGTTATTCATCACTCGCGCATCTGCATATCTCCGCTGCCACTCTTTCTTTCTTAACTCCTGAAGCGCTACTGCGGACCATTCCTTCATCTTAGCCCACACCAGTTTCGATTTCAGCATGTGGCGCACAATGTTATCGGGTGCCATCCTTTCTTCTATTAGCCTCTCTATGGTTGTTCTCTCAGCTACATATCTCGAACAGAA